TTTCAAGAACAGCTCCTCAAATAGCTAGCCAGTTAGTACCATTTCCTCTTGGTAGGCTGCTCCTATCCCCAGAGGATGCTGGGAAAAGCAGTTCTTTACCTGTACACGAAGCTTTTTCCCAGAATGCAGGTCCCTGTCAGGCTAATATTAGTCTCGATCTCTCTACAAGTTGAAAAAACAGAATCCTCCAGGGCTGGGACATAAGTTAACTGGCCCCTCAGCCTCTTCCGTGTCACTAGGCACTCAGTGAAAGGAAGCTCAGGAAACAGTGACATAGGTCAAATGGGAAAGAAGCTGACTAGAAGCACGCCTAAGTTCAGACAAACACATGCTTCTCTGCTGCACGATTGTGTATGTGCATGTGCGTGCGTGTGTGCATGTGTGTGTGTGATATTCATGTGTTCACCTGTGCCCAAACATGGCGAACACAGGAGGACATCCTACTGTCACTCCCCCACCTTTTTTTCTTCGGATAGGGTCTGTCACTAATGCTGGAGCTTGGGTGACATCCAGTAAGCCCCATTCATCTTCCTATCCTCACCCCCCACAGCACTGAGGTAACAGGGACACTCAGTCACACTGAGCTTTTGACGTGGGTGCAGGGGGGTGCAGGGGATCTGAACTTTCACCCTTTAGGCTTGCACAGCAAGCTCTCCTACCTATTGAGCCATTTCACAGCCCCTACTGTGTGACTCTGATCACGTGTATGCTGTCTCTGGGTTTCTTCCTGTGTCGAGCAGTCTTTGTGAGCACTAACTGAGCAATGGATGTGAAGTCTCTGACCTCACCCCTTCTGTGTTAGCGGTCAGTGCACCTGCATCTTGTCAGCATTATTGTCGTCATCACTGCCATCTTCATTAAGAGCAGCTGCATTAGGAGGGGGCAGGTGAGGATGCAGCAGACAGCTACTAGCTCTTCTCCTACATGTTTTTGTCTCCCCTGCTCTTAGCAGCCACCCCAGGGACATGTGGAGTTGCAGTAAATTATGTTGTAAGAGTCTGGGCTGAGCCAGCTTCGTTTCATTCACTTGCAGTCATGCACTCGGGGCTCTCGGGGTCCCAGGAGTCCCTCTCCTTTGCCCCTAACCAGAGTCTAGTCTCCCAGCTCTGCCTTTTGAGACTGCCTTTCTCCTCTGATCAGATCAACTTCTAAATAAATATTAAATTATGTCTGGACGTGTTCTCCTGTTCCTTTCAAATCTAAGTAAATCACTTTTTCCCTTTGTTGGAAGTCACAGCCCTGCCGAGGTCTCCTCAACAGTGTCTCGCAATAGCAAGATTTTCCTCTAGATATTTAAAATGAAAGACTTCCTATTGGAATTTTATAGTTATATTTTTTATACTTATATTCCCAGATCTCTGTAAAATGTGGCCCTCTGTACCCCTGTTTAGTCACCTTCACACAGTATTTCATAAGAAATCATAGCACCTGCTCTTAAAGATTATTAGATTTGGTGGCTGAAGATATGACAAAAAGAAAAAGATAAAAAGGATGTTATTGTAGGAAAAACATAAATTGTCTTAGTCTGAGGGTAGACTTATGGTAAGGCACTCAAAAGCCTCGAGTCAGGGCTGTGATGTACAGCTGTGTGCTCTACACCACACAGTTTCCCCATGCACACTTTCCAGGATGTGATGGCAGCCTTTGTA